TCAAGGCCATGCATGGGGTTAGATAAAGCAGTAAAAGGCTAGAATTTATCTGTGTGCATGTAAGATCCTCTTTTCTCTCTCACCTTGTTGATCAAACCTTTTGGAGCTCTGTCTCAGTGTGCAGCATGCTGCCTTCTAACAGGATTGTCGTTTGCTGCTGATGCAGGCCTTTTCCTGCTGTCAAACGCTGTTGTTGGGCAAGAATATTGAGGGGACAAATCTTGTCTCTAAAGTGAACATGAAAAACTTGAGGTTTATGTGTTTTGTTTTATGGTGCTGTGTAATGGCATGGCACACCATCGTGTATTCTAGCTTCTTGTCTATACAGGCAGTACATTTGGAGTTCTTGGATTTCCTTTGGGCCATAATGGGATGGAGAAGTGTACTGCTTTACCATTTTTCAACTTGCAAGAAAAGACATAGCAGGGAGCACCCAGGGAGAAAGCAAAGTAATTTTAAATGGAGAATGAAGTTATGACGTATGGGCATTACCAATTAAGTAGTAGAAGATACTGCTCCATCAGTATGAGCCATTGTTTGAATACATTTTGCACTCGGATGAGACGAGGTCACCTGGTCAACAAGGAAAGGGTTTTGAATGGGAGTCATTCAAATACCAGTTATCTTTTATTTTGGATATCTTCTAGGCAATGGAATTAATAATGATGTAAATCTTATTGCTACATTGAGGATTTGGGGGTTTTTGTTTGCTTGTTTTGTTTTGAGTTCAGCTTTATAAGGTTAGTTGAACTTGATTTGGTTGTTGCTACCAGGTAGTTGCTTGGAACAACTCTGTCAGCTTTCAGGGTTTGTGTCAATCTGTTTGTTTGTCGTTTGGCTAAAATGGGTAGATTACTTCAGCACCAGAGAGGCAAACAAACAACCTAAAGACTGCAAAAGGTATGGGTAGCTTTTCATGTTAGTAGAGACTTCAGAAAATATTGATGGAATGCATGTGTCAGATTCATTGTTGTAAAAACTGTAGAGCCTTTCTTAAACCTAAGCTCATGATGAGATACTTATTTAAGAAAAACTATCATAAAACTGACAACTTCCCCCAAAAGGCCTTTATTTATTTATTTTAAAGCAGAAGTTTTATATTATGGTCATTATGTCTGCCCTGGTTATTGTGCATGATTAAAAAACAGAAGCATAAAAGAGAAATGTTTACTTGTGTTCCCATTGTATGTTTCAGCTGAATGGTGTCTTCTAGTGCCTGCTTTATATTCGTCTGTAGGTCATTTTTAACTATGCCAGCATAAATTTGTCACCTTAAAATATACATGTGCAGGTTTAAAAAGCTGCAAACATGCTAACGTCATTAAAATTGGGATTGAATGAAAACATCACACTTTTTTTTAAACTCCTAAAATAGAAGCACTTGACTGCAATTTAAAGGACAACTTCAACTGTATTTTGTTTATTGTAGTTTAAATAACCCAAAATACAGAAGTATGAAATGTTCCTCCCCCTGCTCTTCTCTTCCCCAGGATAAAGGTGACAAAATGGGAATCTGTCTCAAGCTTTCAGGATTTTTTTATCAATGGCTTTATTCTCAGTCTGAATGAGACAGAAAGGAGGAGACTTTGTCTTTCCTGTTTATAAGAACATCATCTTGAAGAAACAGGTATTTCTTTTATTAAAACCAGAAAAAATGTGAAAGTTCACATTTGTGTAGTCCATAAGGATCAATGATTTTTCACAGTTGTCAAAATGAATTTAATTGCATGACTAAATTGAGAACACTGTTCCAAGCACATCCAGCTTTTCATTAGTCACTATAGGGCCTCATTTTATTTCCAAACCAAGCCTAAGTAACGTGGGTGATAATTTAAGACTGAGTTTTGGAAGCAAGTGGTGGTGTTTCTGTGAGCATAGAGGAATGTAACTGTTGAGGGAAGTTGCAAGGCAGTTATCCCAAGACTGTTAAGGGTTTGCTAACTTCAACTGAGTATCTGAGTTATCCAGAACATGTAATAGCCGGCAGGACTGTAGTGGACGTGTGAGGGATATGGCTGATGTGGATTGTGTAATGGGGCGGTGCTATTCCATGTAATGTAAGACTCAACTTCTGGTCAGTCCCACAAAATGAGCAGGATTGTGCATTTTCTTTTTGGGCTTCTGGTGCTGAGCTGTTCATTTTCTAGCTCATTAGTATTGACAGTTCTTATATTTTAGCACTCTTCGGCTTAACACTTGTTAAGTGCCTTTATTAACACAAGACAGTAGATGGGCAACTTTGTCATCTTCTAGATGGTCCAGCCTGGACCTAACCACATACAGATGGGTCTTTTCCAGCACTGTTTTGCAGTTTTCTGTTTAGCATAGGGACTGTGAGAAAATACCACAGGACCTTGCAGTTCCCTGTGTGTTAGGTTGTCTGCCATTATCACTGTGTCAAGGCTGTGGGTCCAGCCTCCTTGGTTCTTCAGTCGCTTCTGAATGAAACAGCTCTTCTGTTCTCTTGGCTCTTCATAACCTTCACTACATACTTTCTTTTAGACCAGGATTTTGCTTTTCAAGTAAGTTATCTCTGAGCAAGTATACTTTTCCTTGTGTGTGACAGCACTTCCCTAGAGCAGTTGTATGCTGCTGGTTGCTATATCTGAGCATGCACAGCACACCAGTTGTGAAGGGTGATAACTAGGTTAAAAAAGAAAATAAAAAAAAAAAAGAAATTCCACATAACAGTTGTGCAGGATGCCTTAAACATCTGTGGAAAATCTCTCACATGAAATGCACATAAATTTTCTTGAACTTCTTTTGAAAGTTCTTCTGGAAAGGAAGATTGATGCCTATTATCCTGCTAGAATTAGATAATCTGAAGATCCAAAATAGATGGGTTTCCTCTGAGGTCTAGTTAGCATATGCAAGAGTGTGTGTGTGTGCATGCTTGTGTGTACAAAAAAAAAATACTTTTTTCTTCTGATTTAAACAAAGGGAAGGTATTACAAAAATGTGTACATCTAATTGTCATGGCAGGAAGAAAAAATACTTGCAGGAACTTAATCAAAAGCTTTCTTCTTCTGTTTCAGGATTTTATTAAATATTCTTTTTAGGTTATACCTAAATATTAATAATATTTTGTGACCACCAGAGTGCACGTTGTTCCGATTGTAGTGAACCTCTCCATTTCAGAGGTCTGAACATTCCCTTTTTTTCTTCATATAGGAAATCAACTCAAAACTTAATTCAGTCTGATGCTATGTTTCTTTATAATAAATTCTTACAAGTGTCTGAAATGGCTGCTTTATGTTGTTGTATGGGTGTGTCGTTCTCCTGTTAAGAGTAATTGCATCCTTTAAAACATAGTAATGACTAGTGTCTCTAATGAAGAAACACTGTTAATGGAAACAAGTTATGGAAATAGCACAAATAGCACAAATAGCATGTCATATAACATTTTAGTTCATGACAAACTCGGACAAACTTGTGTCTTGCAGTGAAACTGGAGAGCTTTTACAGCAACCTGGTGTGCTGGCTGTGGAAAATGACCCCCTTTAAACCATTAATGTTAGAGTGATACCTTTAATTCCAAACAAACTTCTCTTTTGTTAACATTTGTTTTGCAACAAAGTGGCTTGCTAATGATACCTTAGGAAAAAAACAGCCAATGAGATGGCAGTATATAGTGAAAAATTTAAATTTATTGATGAGACACTGTAAGTAAAACTGTTGGTGGCGCAAAGTAGTAAGTACTGGAAGAACTAGTTGTATGCATCCATGAGTCTAATTGGAACTGTAATAACTAGAGTCAAAAAAGTCTGTTCATGCTGTACAGTTATGGTTTTGGTAAATAAATACTGATGTGCATATAGTAGGATGGCAAATAATGCTTTACATGTTGTACTGTTTTGCTTAGACTGGTGCAGTTTTATTTAGATACTGTGTTTGGAGCAGGTCATGTTACCTCTTCCTGGCTTGATTTTCCTGCTGTCTTGTGCAAAGCTACTAGAGCACAGAAGAAACTGCCCATTGAGAAGAAATTAAATATTTAAATAAAGGAGATTTAAAATATCCCATGTTTTAAAAATATGAAGTTAAGTCCTTGGTATTCACTGCCATTGCTCAACTGCAGTCCTCCATGTGGATATTTATATTAACCCAGGATCTGTAAAAGGGGAGAATGAAAGAAATTATTTTAGTTTCTCCAGAACTTGCATTTCTCTTATGTTTTATTACATCAAAGATTATTGCATCTGTCACACTGTGCCATTACTGAATGATAGTCACATCTGCTGGCATTAGTAAACTCCTTGATTAGTCTTCTGGGTAGAGAGATGTTACTAGTGGGTGTAGTGGTACCACAGATGAAGTCTAGTTTATTGTTTAAACTTACAACTTTGGTTTCATCAGGTTAAAATAGTTTCTGTTGCAGTTAGACATTTGCACAGCTTCTGACTATTCTGTGAAATTCAGTCACATAAAACTGTGAACCAGTGAGTCTGACTGAATAGGTGTAGTTCCATTGAAGGGAAAGTTGTCAGAAATATTATCTTCTACCTGTTTTATTAAAACCTGTATGATTTTAGGTGCAGATCTTTTGTCTTGATTCAAAACTAGGAAAGACTCTTTCTCATGAAACCAAACTTTTGTCTTGCAAGTTTAATCTGTTGTATGACTAGAAAATAAATGCCTTAAATCTAGATTGTCACATTCTCTGATTGCTTAGGCTTATATATTTATCTTGTTTATTTAAATTTTCTCAGAGTTCTGCTTGTGTTTTTGCATTAGAGTTACCACAAACAAATATGGGAGGTAATGCAAAATACTTTGTGCAGTTAAAAAAAAAAAAAAAGTGAAGTTGCCTAAACAGAATAGTAAAATCTGAATGCAAGAATATGATTAAGCTGTTTTGGGGGTATTCATTCTAAATTTCATGTGGTTTATAGTGATGCTACTTAAAAATTGACCATTTTTGTTTACAGTGCTTTTTATTCAATGTATGACTATTTTGGAATCGCATCTAACAATTTTTTTCTCTTTTCAATATTTTACAGACTGGACTTTGACATACTTTTCATGAAAGAGGTTTCCAAGTAGTTGTCTTATAATAACTTTGAGAAGAAGTTCTATGTAGCTCTTACTTTCAAGAGTGCTGCAAAAATGATTACTTCAGATTTGCCAGTACTACAGTGAGTATATATTTCTCTGTATATTTGAAATCTTCAGTTTTAAAAAGGTTGAAGTAAACAGAGAGGTGATTGTGAGGATAAAGCACAAGCTTGAGAGAAGTGCAGATTAGTATGACTGTTCTAGGCCTCCTGTGTTTTCATATGCTGAAAAACTGTGTAAAAAATCAAAACACTTAATCTAAAAAATATTTCTTTATATGTATGGAGATTTAATTTTGCTGTGAAAAGCAAAACAAGATCTTTGCTACTTTTATGCTTCTGAATGTTGTGAGATTTCAGACATGTGTATGGGTTTTAGTCATAATTGACCATATTTGTGTATTCCAGTTGTGTACTCTTTCTTACAATGAGCTGTATTTATTGTGCAAAATGCCTTTGGCTTCTGCAGTTGAAGACAGCAAGTGGCATTAGCATGTTTTGATCTTGCTGGGAAATAGGAGTGGCTTATACAAATGGGAACATCACTGTGCTGGGTAAAGTGAACTATTGAAAAGAATAGAGTGGAAGTCTATGAGGGAAGCTAGAGAGTAAATCAAGTAGAGTTAAGAAAGGAATTTTAGAAACGGGAACAAAATGGAGCTTTATTTGATGTGGTGGGTTGACTGTGGCTGGCTGCCAGACACCCACCCAGCTGCTCTCTCACTCCCCTCCTCAACAGGACATGGGGAGAAAACAAGATGAAAAAGCTCATGGGGTGAGATAAAGACAGGGAGATCACTTACCGATTGCCCTCACGGGCAAAACAGACTCGACTTGGGAACAATTAATTTATTGCCAATTAAAAAAGATTCAGGTGATGGTGAGAAACAAAGACAAAAACTAAAACGTGTTCCCTCTCCCCCCTGCCCTTTTCCTGGGTTCAGCTTCATCCCTTCGTTCCTGACCCCTCTACTCACCCCCCCAGCATGGGGCCCTCGGCATGCAGGTACCTGCTCCAGTGTGAGCTCCCCAGAGGTCCACCTAGGGGGGAGTCTGTGCCAGAGCACCGGCTGCACCTTCTCCTTCCTCCTGCTGCTCAGAGGGCTGGTCCCTTGTCCCTCAGGGCGTTTGGCCCTTTCTTCAGTAGCTCTCACAGAGGCACCTAATGGCTCCCCTGACAGGCCCATGTCCTGCCCTGGGGCCGTTGGAACTGGCTGTGGCCAGCACTGGGCAGCCCCGGCCTTTCCTCACAGAGACCTCATGGCCCTGCTGCCAGCTCCTGGGCACCTAGACCAAATACATTTGGTAATTATCTAACTTTTAGGGTATTTTTGCTTGGAATGAACCTATGAAAATAGGAATTGTCACAGGGTATAAAAGTGCCTCAGTTTATCAAGGTTGAGTGGTGTTCCAAAGCTAAGATTTCAAATGCTTTTATTTAAGAAACTGAATGCTTGGACAATTGTAAAGTTATTTGATCTTAATAATAACATGCTCTGCATTGCATTTTTTTCTTACATTTTTAAAACCTCTTTCAAAAAAAGTTAATTTCTGCTGTGGGTGAGTACATGGCTAAAGACAGGGGTGACCCCGATGGGTAGCACTGAGGAGGGAATGTCAGCCCTTGGTGGGGGTTCTGGTTAGCTTTGAGGGTAGTTGTGGAAAAAATTTTTCTTGGTTTCTATTTTCCTGGATGTGCCACATTCAAGAAGTGAGAGTGTGCTTGTGAAATGTGCCAAGGACAAAAAGCTGGGAGATTCTGTCATGGCAATGGTAGGAAAGGGATATTCCTATTCCCAGGTCAAGAAACTAGATGGCCTTAAGTAGTGAATGAAATATCGTAGAGTTTAAGGTTAAAAAGTGCATATTAATAAATTTGGTAACTCTGCACACCAGCTGAAAAACCTGAGGAACATTAAAGATGTCAGCATATTCTTTAATCAGAAGATGATTGTGAGCCACCAATATTATGCAACGTTAAAAAATGAAAGAAAACATGTATGGTTTTTTTTCTGGTAGAGCTGGGAATCATCTAATGCCACTGTGCGAAGTGTTGGTGAGATGTCATCATCAGTAATACATATAGTTTTGGTTGCTCATAAACAAGAGGAGGTCTGTCTTTTTACAAAACAATCAGTAGGATTTGCACATAATGGTTTTGAGACTGTTCTGAGGGCTCAGCACATTAAGTCTAGTGTGGACGAAGTATCAAAGAAAGTGATAACCACTACTTCAGTAGATCCCAACCAGACTTTCATCAGAAAGGAGTCTTGAGGGTGAGAACACCTGAAGCAATCTTTGGCTTAGGGGTATTAGCTTCACACATTTAGATTTGGGAAGCCACAATCTGGTTCCACATAGAGAAAGCCAAGGTTTTCTTTCTAGCTCTTAAATAAGCAGCTTTGAAGGATTATTATAATCTACCACTCCTATGCCTTATTTCTGCTTTTTTGTAATGTTTTTTAATCTTTTTGGCTACCCGCTTTAAACAAAAGGTCCTAAAGTCAATTTGATGTATTAACGTACTTTGCTTAGGACCGTATCAAATATTCCTTCCCACATTCTTCTCTGCTGAGGGGACATGAAAGGAGAAATCTTTAATCTTTCTGAATTCATAGAAGTGGCTTCAGAATGCAGTGAAGACAGGATTTCACTTATTGGTGTTTCAGATGTAGGGAAAAAACCCTCTGGTGTATTTGACCTGGGTGACTGACTGTTTTGAGTCGTCTCTCAATGGGATGACTCATATTTGCTGTGAGGCATGTTCCTCTTTAGATTTTGAAGATCAACCATGAAAGCTGATTCATCCATGATTCATAAGCCTGTGCATTTAGCCATTTTTCTTCATGAATACTTTTTTTTCACAAGGCTGAGTCTGGTGGTAGCAATTACTGAATTTATCTCTGCCAGAACCTTGAGCCACCTCAGTATCACCAATAAAAGCTTACAGAAGCATTTTTATTTACAAAACCTGATACCTCAACATAGGTTTTTGGTGTGGTGTCTTTTTAAGGGGGTGTGGTATAAGCTCTATAGCTAGGGCTCTATGTAATAGTAGAAGGAAGGTAAATATGTTTTGATTTATTTTGCAGAGATGTGAAATTTACTGTGTCTGTGGAGTACGTTCTGCAGAAGCATGACATGATAAAGGGCTGCCCAGTAATCTGTTACTTCTTCATTACCATATGGTTAGTTTCAATGGCTAGTTATTATAACTTTGGAATAATATCTGGAGTTTTTAGGAGGGATCCTGGAGTTACTGTCAGTTTTCTAGGATGCTTTAACCAACACAGAAACCAGAAAGAAAAGCAGGGTAAATTTGAGCCCCTAAAAGGGGTTTATCACTTGTCTGCTCTACTCTGCCCACCCCAATCTTGTAGGTCTCCCACACTCTGCCAAATTCTCTTATGTCTCTATCATGTCAAAGGTGTCTTTAGAGAGGGAAGATTTAGCCTTAGGCACTGCCACCTCTCCTCTTGTTAGATGAGACAGGTCTCCTTAGGCCCAGACTATTTTCCCTCCCAACAGCTTCAGGAAAGATAAATTGTGACTAAGCCTAAGTTTTCCCCTCAGGTGACTAGTCACACACATGTAAAATAGGGATAGGATAATTCTGGTCTATTAAGATGTGGATGACTGCCACCAGATAAATTACTTCCTACCACTTCTGCAATATGTGTAGGGAATGAGGGAGATTGATGCTGGCCAGATACTCTTCTCAATGAGTGTTAAACACCTGACAGAACTGCAGGCAGTTAAGAGATGCTTTACTCATCGTCTGAGTTCAGAAATAAGGAGAAAAGGGGCGTGTGTGTGTGTGTGTGTGTGTGTACCCAGAGCAACTGTAAGGCTTTGGCAGAAGCAAGAAGCACTACCTCCCAAACTGAAGGGACTTAAGGCCGCAGTGGAAGGGCCTTTCTGTGCAGGGGTTGCATAATTCAGACAGAATTCCCTGCTGCTTGAAATGATGTATATTTTAGTGTTCAATCAGCCAAGGACTGTAGGCTGTTCTTGATCCTGTCTCCCTGCTCCAAATAATGTGAGGATTGAATGGAACTTACTTTCTGAGGTTTTCCCCTTACTCCTTACATACTTATATTCTTTGCTGGAAATAAATCTCCCCTCTGCCTTACATACTGTTAGGGTGAGATTCATCTTGTTTAATTTTAAACATTTATATTTGAGCTGCTTGTCTAGATCACCTTACCATCAACGGAGAGAAAAGAAAATCTGTAAAACCTAAACTGACCATTTTTGGACACTGACCTTAGTGTGAGGTATATTGCACCTTAAGAATGTCTGTTTTCTGCATTGTATATGTATCAAATTTAGATGAGATGAATCTCACCCTTAATACTGATTCATTGAGCCTTTCCCAAAAGGCTTCCAGCAAAGCAGAGAAGTTCTACCAGAAGAATATTAGAGAAGCATGGTTATCAGGTTTAAGACAACAGTCTGTTTAAGACAAAGAAGAGAAGGTGGTTAATAATTAAACTGTTCCTTATATATGCAGTGTTCCAAAGCAATTGAAATTTCCAGAACTAAATACATAAATCTCAGTAGGTTTTGCTAGACCCAGACAGAGGCTGTAGCAAAGTCAGGTTCCCTGTGGACTAGGTGCATGCAAAATAGTAGTACAGTTTAAATTTATTTATACAGCTCTAGAGTTTCAAGGGAAGTGTTTTGTGCCATTTGTCTAGGAGGACTGATGAATCTGGTTTTAACAGAGTAAAACCTTTATCCTGATGATATTAGGGGTGCGGTTTTGGAAGCTAGCAAAGCTATAGCATTTCTCCAGGAATAGGGGTATTGCTTAGACCACACCATGCCTAAAATTTTTCCACTAAGGGCCTGTGTAGACCAGAGAGAAGCTTATTTTTTCTACAGAGGGCAAGAGAGAATGGCTTTAATTTCTCTACAGCAATAGAAAGCAGCAGATATTTTTATAGGGTTCCTCACTTCTGTATTCAGAAGTTATTTAAAAAAAAAATTTTCGTGAGGCAATACACATTTTTGTCAAATTGAATTGCAGTGTGATGGCTGGTCTTTGAGTAAAGGCTGGATACTTCCATCGGCGTAGACTTTGTTTTCAGCTGTATTCACTGCATTGCTTTTCAGTAGTGTGGCCCTATTTTACCAAATCATTTTGAACTATGTATAGCATATCTTTTATTTAGTTTTAGGCCTTTTACAATTTTTTTTCCAAATTCATAGCTCGATACTGAGTTTTTTAAGTTTCATATTTTATGAAGCAGAAAAGCTACTTCTCTTTTTAATTTTATCACAACAAAGCTGCATTTTCAGTGTTTTGTAGAGATACTGTTTACAAGTGTATAATTTGGGAACTCAAATGTACTTGAATACTGTTTTTCAATCTAGGGTGCCTGGTTTTCTGGGGTACGTAGAGTATTTAGAGATAATCCATTGAAGTTACTTTCAGAAAAGGAGATTCATATATGTTTTACCTCATTCTAGCTTTTGTAAAGGATTCTGTGGGCCCCTTGGTGGTTTTGTGCTTGCAAATTGGAAAAGGTTGGAAAATAATGTCTTAAAATTAGAAATTCATCATAGTTCTGCAGAATTATTTAGGTTAGAGCAGACCTAGAACAATACAGTAATTTCAGTAAAGAGAAGTATCAGAACATTCTTGATGCTGATACAATGATGTTTGTATCTTTCTGCATTAATAAATAGCTTTCTTGGTGATACAGCAAATTGGTGAAGTATGCCTGATTTATAAAACAAAATAAAAAAATAAAACCCCAGACAATGTGGAAGGTCTGTGTAGATCTTGGCTTGCTGAAGCTTGTCGGTTTGTGTAAACCAGATCACTAATGCCACCTTTTATGTTTGAGGCTGTATAAAATAATGCAACAGGTGTGATTTTCACCTTCCCCTTGCACAAGTTTTACAGCAGTTTAACTCCTTTCACTTCAAGGAAATGATACTGGATTTAAAGAAATCTCTGATTAGAGCTAGACTTGACCAATCTTTGAGTAATCTAGGATGTTATTACAGTTACTCTTTCATTTACCGAGATTTCATGCACTGGTGGTCTTGCAAACTAAAAATAAAGCACCTCAGTAACAGATATGGTTTTGCTTGTGGGCTCTTCTTGGGCAAAATCTAGTGTCTTAGAAGATCAATTACAATCTAGGTTTCTTCAAGCAGCCAGGTCTGTTTTGAAGGCAGAGAGGTACCTCTGCACCTGGCTGGGGGGTGGGAGGGGGCAGGGGGAGTGAAAATTGGGGTAAATTTTTTTCCCTACTTAGTATGGTCTTAAGTCTAAACCAGGAATGATTGAAAAATGATACTGTGGGCTTCTCTGCTAATAGTCGTTGAGCAACGTCAAGGTTTTTTCATTGTACAAGTGAAAAAGTTTTTCTAACTGCAAGAATCATAAATGTCTGCAGATCAAAGTGAGTTCTCTGGTTTGTGCCTCACGGTCAGTGTTAATCCTCTCTCTATTAACAGCTGCACAATACCATTGTCTTCAAGTGTGACTAGAAACATGAGGTAACCCGAGTGGGAACTTGTGTAACTGTTGTAATGATGTGATAGCTGGATTGGACTCCAGTTTGCTTTCTCATGACCTTGAAAGCATGAAGCAAAAGCTTGGAAGTAGTTACTAAGAGTGAAAGGAAGTTGATACTAGTGACTACATTGTGGGATGGGTATGTTGGGAATGTGCTCTTTAATATAGCCAGATTTTGAAGTGTAACATGGTTTCAAAAGAAGCTGTTAATTTAAATAACTTCCAGTCTATAAAATGACATTCTAGCTCATAAAAAGGTAAGGCTTTTTGCCAGGGCTAGCAATGCTTAGTTCCTTAGCTTGCAGAATAAATGTGGCAAGCCATTTAATGCTGCCTGTTTTTTCTGGCTTAGGACTAAATATTTAATCAGTCAGTTATAGATTACTTGTTGATTTCAAATCATTTTAATTTATCTAGTGTTTTTCCCCCCCTAGGGATTCTACAAATGAAACTACTGCACATTCAGATGCTGGCAGTGAGCTTGAAGAAGCAGAAGTCAAAGGAAAAAGAAAAAGGGGCCGTCCTGGCAGGCCTCCAGTATGTGTAATTTAGTTTTGTTTTGTTATGCATCTATTTAAAATTGACTGCAAACTGTTTTTCATCTAATCATCTTGTGGTCACATAAATAGGCTTTTAATGAGCCCTATGTCAAAATTTATGAAGACTTGTAATATGAAATATTTATCAGATTGATATACAAACAATGTTTGGAGTGTTTAAAAAGGGACATAAATATGAGCTCATAATAGCTATTATTTTTTCTTTCGCTAGCTACTTACATGAACATTAGAGTTTTGTTATTATTGTCATATTACAACATTCTTCCAGACATGAGAATAATCTCAGTAAGCACGACCACTTTCTGCTTTGAAAGTTGTAATGGATTTTAAGTGACAAATGATATTTGAGCCATCCTTTTAGTAACAGATAATCTCTTGATGCGAATGGAAGAGTTGCAGCATAGTATTAACTAAATGCCTCAGAAGATCTATTAACACATCTTAAAAATTCATGTAATTGACATACAGTGTGTCTTACCTATAGATTGGGAGCTTCAACCTGTTCTCTAGCATAGTGCAGCAGACAATATTGCTGTCTTCTGTATAAGATTTTCTGTTCTTCAGTAGTCATTGCCTATTGCTGTCCCATGAATGGGAACATACAGAAACAATTCTCTATTACACATAGTATTTAAGGAGGCTTTCTCTTTTATTTTCATTTATTTTATAAAATAGCCAATTTATTGGAAAATACAGAAAAAGTTCTGTGTGTCATGTTGTCCTTCATTTTAGTTCTTCAGGGTCATCAGATCTAGTTCTCTTTGTTATACCACTTGAAGTACACACTGTAGAACAAGATTTTTGGTGGGAACTTCTGTGTGTTATTAATGGTTTTGATTCTCCTCTTAGTGTTTGTCCACAAGTAGACTCCCAGTATGAATGTACTATCTCTCTCTCTCTCTCAGGAGTAGATTGAGATTTTTTTTTTTTCCTTTACCCTAAGACCTTCCACCCTAAGTCTAGCTCCTTAAGCGTGGGCTACTGAGGCTAAAAGAATGGACAGAACCATGCGTATGTCTCAAGCATGCTGGCCAAGCTGGAGCAAACTCCTCCTTAGTATTGGTTTTCAATTTGCATCACAGTTTCTGGACTTGCTTTGGGAGCCAGCATTTTAAATCCTGGGCTTTTCAGGGCATGTTGGCTTTTTGAAAGCTTTTGAACAGTGTTTCCTGTGATGGCATATATTCTTCATCAGATGGACAGATTTGATCAGAAACATGGAGCTTTTTTACATGAAGCTTTAAAGAAGCATGTAAAGAGAACAGGTCATCTGTTCATATAAACTTGTAAACAAAGGGCAAAATCAGAAATTATCTTCAGAATATCTCCTTAGTAAATCTATGAATTTTTGCAGATCTAATAAAAAAGAGGATGGTGCAACCTGATTGCTAATCCAGAAGGTTGTCAAGAGTGTAGGAAATAAAGCAGCACTAGTGGTATTTTGTACACACCACACATTCACTGGAAAGGAAAGATGAGTGTTACAAAAGGTGTTTCTCATCCCTCTGTTTGAGCTTATTAGTAGCTCCTGTGGGGATATTTGCTGAAGCACTCTACTGGTCCTGCTGTCAAGTTTCTGCAGGAGCAATTGTTCATTTGCTTAGAACAACTCCAGGCTCATTAAGTGTGCATGATTGTAAAGTGATGAGCATACAGAGGAAGCAGCCATTGTTTCATACATAAAATGATGGGCTGTGAGCTGACCATTGCTGCTAAGGAGCAAGAACTTAGTGTTATCAGTGATGATTCCATGAAAGCATTATCTTGATGCTCAATAGGGGTCAAAAAAACCCCAAATCCAGTCTTAAAACTCCGAGGAAGAGAATAGAGAATAAAACAAATACTGTGTTCTTTATAAAACTGTGGGTTGCCAAAATTTGGAATATTTTGCACAATTCTAGTTTCTCTTCCCCTCTTGACCTCTGCCCCAAAATCTCCGGAAAGGGTATATTAGGACTGGAAGAAGTTCAGAGAAGAAAAACAATGATGGTCAATCATGGAATCAGGTTGGCAGGGACCTCAGGAGGTCTCACTGCAACCTCCTGCTCAGAGCAGGATCAGCTTTGGGATCAGACCGCATTGGTCGGGGCTTTTCCAGTCTGGTCTGGAAAACCACCAAGACTGGAGATTGCATAGCCTCTCTCAGCAACCTGTTTCATTTTCTTTCATGAAAAATTTCTCCCTGGTAGGCAGCCAGAACCTTTCTTGCTTCAGTTCATGACTACTGTCAGTTTTCCTCCCACTGTATGCTACTGCAAAAAGCTCCCAGGGGAAGTGTTCCTAGCCCCCCCAACTATGTTGGTAGCCCTCTGCTGAACTTGTTCTCACATACCTCTCTCGCATTGAGAGGGCCAAAATTGAACATGGCATTCCAAATAATGGGCTAAGAAGTGCTGAGTAAAAGGGTGTAATCACTTTCCTTGGTGTACTGCTATATTCCTGTTTGTACAGCCCAGGGTGCTGATGGCCTTTGCTGCTCAGGCATATGGCTGTCTCATGTCCAGTTTGCTGCCTGCCAAGAGCCTGAGGTCCTTTTCCACAGAGCTGTTCCCTGACTAGCTGGTCTCCAGCCTGTGTTGGTGCAGGGATTTATTCCTCTGCCAGGGGCAGGTCTTTGCATTTGTCTGTGTTGAATTGTGAGTGTACTCTTAGCCTAGTCCTCCAGACTGTCAATAGCAGTCTTGCCCTTGATGTCATCCAGCAGTCTTCCCTGCCAGTTTGATGTCATCTGCATACTTGACAGGAGCACACTCTCTCACCCCCTCTGACTATGATAAAGATGGGAAACTGGACGTGTACCTGTTAGACTTCTGTCATACTCCCTCATCACTAGCCTCCAGGTAGAGGCTGATCCATTAACCACTATGAGCCCAACAGTTCAACCACTTGTCCACCCATCTAGCTGTCTACTCATCCAGATCACAACGTCCCAACCTGGGAATACAAGAATATTGTTGGAGACTGTTGAAAACCTTGCTAAAGTCAAGAAAAATGACATCTATTGCTCTCCCCTTATCCACAAATTCAGTCATTTTGTTACAGTTTTTTGGGTGAGTTGACAAAATGTATATGTTTGGATACACAATCAAATTCTGCCTTCATAATTGGTACTGTGGCAACAGAGAGGAATAAATAAGGTTCTTCTACCAAAAAATGACCTAAAAGGAAAAAGCCACTCAATGTCTAATATCCTTGAGGAGAAATGCAAACACCTTGGGAAGTCTAATCTAGGCAATTAAATTTATAACATTATTTGGTATTAAAAGTCATGGACTTAGTAATTGAGGTATTGACTTTGCAAATGTTGTCTTTCACTCTTCCTACTCCTTCACATTGCTCACCTATCCATGTTGCTAACTCATCCACTTTCCACAGGTGAATTATCTGTTTCTTACAGGAGGTGCAGCTCTGACATTTCTCCCCCACTCTTTCATCTGCTAACATTAGTTTTATTTCTTCCACAGGTACCACCTACCTTTACTCTCAGATGTGAAACAGATTAAAATACTTAGTTAAATTCAGAGCTGTTTTTCTCCCCTGTTACCTGGCTTTGATGTTTTTCATTTCTGTTACAGACATAAAGAAAGGCTTTTCTGCCCAAAGGCTCTTCTGATTTTTGTGGTCGTGTCCCGTCCCCCCCCCAACTAAAATATTATGGTTTAATAAGATTTGATCCCTCCCTGCAATGCTGATTGGCGTATTTCCTTAGGCCATCACAGCTGCAGTGACACATCTGCCGTAAATATATTGACCTCTTTTGGAAAAAAAGTTTACTCTTCTGTGCTGTTTAGTTTAGCTGCATGGTTCTATTACAGAGCTGCCACAATGCACTCCATCAAATACTTGTATGTATGTATTTATTTTAAATAGGTTTCTGCTGTAGTGTTATAGAATGGACTTGACCTTTTATCAGAAAGATAGACTGCTACTAGAGGATTTTCCAAACTTTTTTACAAAGGCAGCTATTCCTCTTTGCAGATTTGAGACTTTTGTAAGGAGATGGTCCTCATTTGAAAATTTGCCATTTGTAGCAAATACCACTTCAGTTCATAGAGAACCTTAATATTTTGGGGAACCTTCCCTTCCTGAAAATGTTGCTTTCCAAGTTGCCCCTCCACTTCTGTAAGACTATTCTGGTAAGTACTTGACTGAGTAGACTGAACAGTCAACTTGCAAAGAGTTAAAGTACATTGGTTCTTCAAAACAACTCTCAATCTAATCTGATTGTCCTGAATTCACCAACCCTTGCAGTGAATTTAGCAGGAGTTGCACCATGTCCTGTTCTAGCATTGACAATGGCTGGGGCTGGCCTCCCCCTTGCCCGCGTCCCTTTCTAAACTCTGAGTCTTGTAGACCAGATAGATGCCTGTGGAACAGTTGACCAAGAGGTGAATCTTTCCAGTCAGTGGGACATTTTGGTGCATGTGTTTATGTGATACTGTATGAGAGCATACCATCTGGATATATATTTAGTGAATGGTGTGAGGTGTATTTAAGGAGTGACCTACAACAGTCCTCTGGTTGAAATTGCAGAGTAATATTGGACAAAAATGCCTTTTCTGTCTCCTGCATTATTGAAGTACATGGGTATGGATACGCTCTCCTGTTCTAGGTAGGGGATTTGAAAGCCCAAGGGCTTATGATGCAATGCAGCTTTCACATTATTGAGCTCGGGCTCAGATCAGTTATTTATCTATCCTGTCCTTTTTTGTCTCCTCTCCTGGATCAATGCTCTCTGTTCAATGTTGTTGGCATGCTTTATTTTAACCTACCTGGCCTTACCTTCCCAGGAGCTCAGAATAGCTTGGCTTAAACCTCAGCTGTTAGAGGTTGAGGGGAGTGAGAGAGATCCCTGGCTGTATTTCAGCTTTGAAGTAGGAGTAGACAGATTAGCCTGTTTGACTCGGAGGACAAGAAGAAATGTCAGTCTTTCTGTTTCAGAGGTGGCAATTCTGAGAGCTCTTCTGCTGTCTCTCA